ATGGGTGCAGCCCTGGGTCACGGCTCATGACTGAGCAGGGCCTAGGACAGTGGTTCTCAACCTTGGCTGCACATTAGAATCACCTGGGAATCCGGAGAATGGGGCCCAGAAATCAGAATTTAAAAAAAAATATATTTTATTGATTTTTTACAGATGCAGCCAAGGTTGAGAACCACTAGCCTAGGAGCTGGGCCATCCCTCAAAGCCTCAGCTCCTGGTGCAGGGCATGTGGCCAGTCCCTGCTCTACTCGTGACAAAGGACACATGAGGCGCGATCCACTTCTCCCCAGCAGGGGCCTGAGTCTGTGAAGAGAGATTGAGTGGCTGGTGGGAAAGTTCCAGGGGTCTGAGCATGGGCGGATGGGGGAGACCTGGACCTGTCCCTGCACTGTGGCCCTTCTCCTCCCCCAGCTGGGCCATCCCTCAAAGCCTCAGCTCCTGGTTCAGGGCATGTGACCAGTCTCTGCTCTACTCGTGACAAAGGACACGAGGCGTGATCCACTTCTCCCCATCAGGGGCCTGAGTCTGTGCAGAGAGATGTGCGTGGCTGGTGGGAAAGTTCCAGGGGCCTGAGCATGGGCGGATGTGGGAGACTTGGACCTGTCCCTGCACTGTGGCCCTTCTCCTCCCCCAGCTGCTGTCCGCCCCTTCCCGCCCCCAAGTTTCTGCTGAGACCAAAGCTCCTTTGTTACCTTCCCCTGCCCCAGACCTCACCACCTGCCACAGGCCACAATCCCCGCTTTGTGTGGTCTGGCAGTTGTCATGGCAGCTGCCCCAGCTGAGGGGACTCACGTCCCAGCTGCAGCCCGACCCCACGTAGGGAGGGTTGGGCCTGGAGCCAGGGGCTGGGAAGGGGATGGTGCTCCGGGCCCTGCCCTGAGACCTGCTCTCCACAGAACTTGTTGGGCCGCCCGGGAAAGGTCACTGGAGTGTGGGGCCAGGGCCAAGCGGCCTTCATAGACTCAGTGGGCACTGGTGGGGGTGGCGGACTGGCCCCATGGCCTCCTGTTTTCTGGCTGGGGCGTTTTGCTAGGCATCCTGCTGGATGGGTTCCTGGGCATCTCTCAGGTCAAACGATGGGTCAGGTGGCGTGAGACTGTTGGGTGGCAGAATAAGAGAGAAGGATGGAAAAGGCACAGCTTGGGGGGGGGGGG